GTGGCAACAAGAGCAGATGCAGCCCTGCCAGTAGACTTCTGCTGGAGGTGGCAACAAGAGTAGGTGCAGCCCTGCCAGTAGACTCCTGCTGGAGGTGGCAACAAGAGCAGATGCAGCCCTGCCAGTAGACTCCTGCTGGAGGTGGCAACAAGAGTAGGTGCAGCCCTGCCAGTAGACTCCTGCTGGAGGTGGCAACAAGAGCAGATGCAGCCCTGCCAGTAGACTCCTGCTGGAGGTGGCAACAAGAGCAGATGCAGCCCTGCCAGTAGACTCCTGCTGGAGGTGGCAACAAGAGCAGATGCAGCCCTGCTTAGATCCATCAATGTATATAACTTGTGATAAATTATTACTAATAGTTTAGAAATCTGCAAGTGATTGAAGGAAGTTATTACTGGTGATGAGGTTCTCGGGAGGGGCTGCAGGTATGCGATATTAAATGGCCACATCTTCCACGGAGGAGTGAAATGTTCTTGTCTAGAGTTAGGTAAACAGGTCTATTTAATACACTTCCTCTTTTGATTAATTTATCACAGATATAAAATGTTTATGTTGGTTTCTGCTAGGAACTCCATCTTGAGGAAGTGATAATGGTCTGCAGAAGATCTTAACACTTGACTGGCCTCAGGAAGACCGATTTGACCCCCCAAAATCTTAATAGTGAACAAACTAAAAGTGGAGAAAACTGCATTGTCACCAGTGTGCTCTCTGTACTTCTCTGAACACTCATGTGTCGTGATATGATGTATCTTATCTGAATGTCAACTGGGTGAGAAGTGATGACCGACCTTACTTGTGTGTCACCTTGGTGTTACCTTGGTGTCACCTTGGTGTCACCTTGGTGTTACCTTGGTGTCACCTTGGTGTCACCTTTGGTGTCACCTTGGTGTCACCTTGGTGTCACCTTGGTGTCACCTTGGTGTCACCTTGGTGTCACCTTGGTGTCACCTTGGTGTCACCTTGGTGTCACCTTGGTGTCACCTTGGTGTTACCTTGGTGTTACCTTGGTGTCACCTTGGTGTCACCTTGGTGTCACCTTGGTGTCACCTTGGTGTCACCTTGGTGTCACCTTGGTGTCACCTTGGTGTCACCTTGGTGTCACCTTGGTGTCACCTTGGTGTCACCTTGGTGTTACCTTGGTGTTACCTTGGTGTTACCTTGGTGTTACCTTGGTGTTACCTTGGTGTTACCTTGGTGTCACCTTGGTGTTACCTTGGTGTTACCTTGGTGTTACCTTGGTGTCACCTTGGTGTTGTCTTGGTGTTGTCTTGGTGTTGTCTTGGTGTTACCTTGGTGTTACTTTTCTGTCACCTTGGTGTCACCTTGGTGTCACCTTGGTGTCACCTTGGTGTCACCTTGGTGTCACCTTTGTGTCACCTTGGTGTTACCTTGGTGTCACCTTGGTGTCACCTTGATGTCACCTTGGTGTTACCTTGGTGTCACCTTGGTGTCACATTGGTGTCACCTTGGTGTCACCTTGGTGTCAGAAGACCAGCCTCGCCTTGGTGTTACTTAGGGTGTCACCTTGGTGTCAGAAGACCAGCCTCGCCTTGGTGTTACTTAGGGTGTCACCTGAGTATTATATGACCTACATTTCCTGAGTCATTGGATGACCTACCTCACCGTGTCATTAAGGTCCTGTATGGGTGTAAAAACATGTGGAGGAAGAGGTTTGCCAGAAAGATCGAGGTTGGAATAAGGGAGAGGGTTGCCAGAAAGATCGAGGTTGGAATAAGGGAGAGGGTTGCCAGAAAGATCGAGGTTGGAATAAGGGAGAGGGTTGCCAGAAAGATCGAGGTTGGAATAAGGGAGAGGGTTGCCAGAAAGATCGAGGTTGGAATAAGGGAGAGGGTTGCCAGAAAGATCGAGGTTAGAATAATGGAGAGGGTTGCCAGAAAGATCGAGGTTGGAATAAGGGAGAGGGTTGCCAGAAAGATCGAGGTTGGAATAATGGAGAGGGTTGCCAGAAAGATCGAGGTTGGAATAAGGGAGAGGGTTGCCAGAAAGATCGAGGTTGGAATAAGGGAGAGGGTTGCCAGAAAGATCGAGGTTGGAATAAGGGAGAGGGTTGCCAGAAAGATCGAGGTTGGAATAAGGGAGAGGGTTGCCAGAAAGATCGAGGTTGGAATAAGGGAGAGGGTTGCCAGAAAGATCGAGGTTGGAATAATGGAGAGGGTTGCCAGAAAGATCGAGGTTGGAATAAGGGAGAGGGTTGCCAGAAAGATCGAGGTTGGAATAAGGGAGAGGGTTGCCAGAAAGATCGAGGTTGGAATAAGGGAGAGGGTTGCCAGAAAGATCGAGGTTGGAATAAGGGAGAGGGTTGCCAGAAAGATCGAGGTTGGAATAAGGGAGAGGGTTGCCAGAAAGATCGAGGTTAGAATAATGGAGAGGGTTGCCAGAAAGATCGAGGTTGGAATAAGGGAGAGGGTTGCCAGAAAGATCGAGGTTGGAATAAGGGAGAGGGTTGCCAGAAAGATTGAGGTTGGAATAAGGGAGAGGGTTGCCAGAAAGATCGAGGTTGGAATAAGGGAGAGGGTTGCCAGAAAGATCGAGGTTGGAATAAGGGAGAGGGTTGCCAGAAAGATCGAGGTTGGAATAAGGGAGAGGGTTGCCAGAAAGATCGAGGTTGGAATAAGGGAGAGGGTTGCCAGAAAGATCGAGGTTGGAATAAGGGAGAGGTTTGCCAGAAAGGTCGAGGTTGGAATAAGGGAGAGGGTTGCCAGAAAGATCGAGGTTGGAATAAGGGAGAGGGTTTCCAGAGAGGTGGAAGCAGCGGGAGTAGTTTCTTTGTGCATATTTGGTAAAAACCTCTGTAGAATTTTCCTGGTTTAAATTTTGATTGCTCTCTCTTGCCCATTCTGCACTGAGAGCATTTCGAGGTTTTCCAACATCCCAGTAATGTAAGTGGCTGACTCACGAAATCGTAATGACACGATTGCAAACAAACCATACCACGGGCGGGGATAGAACCCGCGATCAGAGTGTCTCAAATTGTGGCTAGCTGGTCCAGTGGCTAACGCGACGGTCTGGAATTTTGAGACTCTCGGATCGCGGGTTCTATCCCCACCCGTGGTATGGTTTAAGTGGCTGACCGAGTTTATATGGGTATATCTAAAACTGGAGAGAGTTTCGGGGGTTAACGCCCCCGCGGCCCGGTCTGTGACCAGGTCTCACCGTGAATCAGGACCGGATCAACCAGGCTGTTACTGCTGGCCGCACGTAGACTGACGTACGAACCACAGCCCAGCTGGTCAGGTACTCACTTTAGGTGCCTGTTCAGTACCTTCTTGAAGACAGTCAGGGGTCATTGGTAATCCCCCTTACATATACTGAAAGGCAGTTGAAGAGTCTTGGGCCTCTGGCACTTATTGTGTAATCTCTTAGCGTCATCGTGGCGCCCCTGCTTTACATTGGGGGATATTACACCGCCTGCCCAGTCATTTGCTTTCACAGGGAGAGATTTTCTTGAAGGTTGTCTGTATATTATCCACGTAAGCAGTTTTGTCAGAATTAAATGTACAACAATGTTAGAGTTTCGAGGCAAAAAGTAATTTAAAGTGTATTATCAGTGACCTGGAATTTCTTGATTTAAAGGTTTTAGTTATCTAACAATTCCCTTTCCTTGTATTGAGTCGGGAACTGAGCTCTTCACATAATTCCTGGTTATTCCCTGTGAGCTTCCTTCCTTCCTTCCTTCCTCAGCTTAATTACCTGGTCCTTGACTGTTGTTTTCCTCCTGATGTGGCTGTATAACAACTCTGGGTCAGATTTGACTTTTGATGCTATGTCATTCTCGAATTGACGCTGGGCTTCTCCCCTTATCCATGCATATTCATTTCTGGCTCTTCATCTGAACTCTGTTTTCCTGGGTACTTTACCTCCTTTTCCATACTGTAGTACACTTGGCGTTGACCTCTTTACACCTCCTGGTAAACCATGGGCTCACTCTGGTCTTCCCGTTGTTTCTGTTGCCCCTTGGTACCAACTTCACTGCCTCCCTGCACTTTGTGGTCACTCGTTACACCATATCATTTACTGTTTCCCTGTAGCTTACTAACTGCACTTCACGTAGGAATTGTCTCGCCTCGTGGACCACTTTGATCAGCATCATGGACTATTGGTATCTTCAGCCGCATCATGTCTGCTCTTGAAGCTATGTATTAAGTATGCATCTATCACTGACTAAACCAGGTAATTCCACTTATAAACAAGATTGAAACTAAATAAATACTTCTTTACATCTCTGTGGGTCACCGCATTTTTCACCTTCCACATGTGTCCCCTTAATCTTATTCCTGTTAATTCAACCTGTCTGTCCTAACCTGTACAATCAATTTATCATAAAACTTTGTATGTAGTAATTATATTCTCTGTTATTTTCTTCTCTAAGGTCATTATGTTGAATTCCTTCAACCTCCCCTCAGAGTGCAGTCATCTCTGTTCTTGTTCTAGACTGGTTGCAAGGCTTTGAAAATTTTCAGGTTTCATCTGATGCTTGACCAGGTGTGGGTTCCATGTCATATGTAATGTTCTGAAAGATTCATTGTTCAAGTTCCTGAATGCCTATTCTGTTGGCTAATCTTATATATGCTGCTGCCATTATAAGGTTTATGTATAATTTTGGCGATGTGCTTGATGGTATATTCATCCTATATGTAGTGGCATGGCTCCTGACCCCACATCTTCGTTAGTCTCTACTGGGTCCACTCTCTCCCTGCTACAAGAGTCTCGTCGTACCTCTTCTCAAAGCCGTGTATGAATCCTGTTTCTACCACTTCACTCTTCGGTTCGCTCCATATCTTGACAACTCTACTGTTGAAGAAATACTTCCCAACATTCCTCTGACTCATCTGAGTTTTCAACTTCCGCTTGTTTATATTTCCCATCTCAGAAACACTGTCTCTATTCAACTTGTACATTCCTCTCATTATTAGGTACATCCTTCTCATCTCTAGTCTTTGTGTGTGTGTGTTCATCTTTGATATATGGTGTTGATGTTTCAGAAGGTCCTCCTGTGATCAAGGAGCACCCCAGCAGTGTGGTCGTGCGCCGCAACGACCCCGTCACCCTCAACTGTGTCTCCTCGGAGGCCACTCGCATCAGGTGGTTCCGTGAGGGAGAAGAAGTGATCACGTCTACGCAGGATCCTCATTCCCACCGTATTCTCCTGCCCACTGGTTCACTTTTCTTCCTTCGTGTCACTGACACCAAGAAGGACAGTGACACTGGGAAGTACTGGTGCGTGGCTTCCAACAGCTATGGTACTACCCGCTCCAAAAATGCCACACTGACCGTGGCGACCCTAGCTTACAACTTCCAGAAACAAGCGGATCCTACAGTGAAGTCCCGTATTGGGGAGTTTGTTTCCTTGCCTTGCCGGCCACCCAAGGGCAGCCCTCCACCAGAGTTGACTTGGCTGAAGGATGGCCGCCAGGTAGTCAACTCCAGCCACGTGAGTGTCACTCAGGCAGGAGACCTGGTCATCAGCCACACCATTCAGGAAGATTCTGCAACCTATGTGTGTCGCGCTCGCAATGCCGCTGGCACCCGAGAATCACCACCCACCCAACTCACTATCATGAGTAAGTGATCTGTGTTGTCTTTCAGATTTTTCCTCACTATCACTGTGAAATAAAATGTTTATAATTATTTATTTCTAACTTTTACATTATCTCTGCTTTTGTAAATCTAGTTAATATGGCTCCTGTTTTTATCAGGGTATTGCTAAAGCGAAGCTAATATAAAAAAAAATTTTTTTGGCCATTATGGAGGTAATATGAGCTTGTGTTTGTGAAGCTACATATATTTTCAGTACCACCGTGGTTTGAGGAGCGGCCAACAAACGTTACTACTCCATCAGGAGTGGTAGTGGAGTTGACATGTCGGGCACAAGCATCTCCCACTCCCACAGTTACCTGGCGCCGGCTAGATGGCAAGATGCCGCTGGGACGTGCCAAAGTAGACGACAAACGACTTATATTGGAGCAGGTGGAGGCTGTAGACTCAGGTGTTTATGCATGTGAGGTTGAGAACGAGGCCGGAGTTGCTTCGGCCCAAGCCACACTCACTGTTGTCAATGCTCCTGAACTGACTCAGAGGCCACAAGACCTTCAGGTTTTAATTGGTGAAAGTGCACAGGTCTCGTGTCGCATTGAAGGTGAACCTCAGCCACTTGTGCTCTGGCGCCTTCCAGTGTTAGATAGAACAGCTCTTCTAAGCCCAGGACTGAGATGGGGTCATGCTTCTGTTTCTAATGATGGTTATACTCTAATGATAGAACATGCTACCACTGAAGACAGTGGCCCATACCACTGCTGGGGTGTGAGCAGTGGTGGTGGTGTAAGTGGCCAGGCAGAACTGATTGTAGTGCCATCTCATCCACCACCTGTAGTAGGTGTGGGTCCTGAAGACAAGACAGTTGCACCTGGCAGTACTGTATCATTCCCATGTGAAGTAGTGAGTGAGGCAGCTGAAGCCACTATCTCCTGGTGGTATCGCCAGGCCGTCCACCTTCCACCCCGTCAGTTATTCCAAGACTCTGCTGACCCCAGGATCTCTCTCCCAGAAAATGGAGCCCTCATCCTCAAGAATGTGCGCCTAGATGACCAAGGCATCTATACCTGCCACGTCACAGCAAACACTGGTACCGTGGAGCAAGCAGCAGTGCTGAGAGTTAAGCATGATGCCAATACAGTCGAAACATTGTTGTTGCCTGCACCTCCTACCAAGCCACGTCTTATAGACATGAACCAAACGGCAGTACAATTGAGCTGGCTTCCCAACTCACAAGTAAATGTAGAGGCAGGTCAGTGGTACACAGTTGAATACTGGAAACAGGGATGGGATGAATGGCGTGTGGCTGATGCTCTCATGATGCAGGAGTCATGTGTGGTTAATCACCTTACTCCTGGACACACCTATACATTCCTGGTCCGTGCTGTCAGCAGCAGAGGAGCGTCATTTCCGAGTCCCTGGTCAGATCCAGTAACCACCCGCCCTCCCCGTGACCCCAGCCTCACTCTGGATCAAGCTCGCCAGGCCCGCCGCCGCCTCTCTCGTCCCATTGTCACTCTCACTGACGCTGCCATCACTGCCCCTGACAGTGTACTGCTCACCTGGGACTTTCTGGCTTCAACAGATGAGTCTGTGGAAGGAGTGTTAGTATACTCTGTTGCCAAAGCGGACACTGTGCAAGTGGCCACTGTCCTGGGAACTTCGTCCTCCTCCCACCTCTTGCACCACCTGAGCCCCAACACTCCCTATACCTTCTTTATTGTTCCCTTCTGGCACAGCATTGAGGGAACGCCTTCCAACTCTCACTCTCTCATCACACCAGAAGATGGCAAGTTATTTTCTTCTTTACTCATACATTTGTTGTAATATTACTGAGGCTACACAGGTCAGCATACCTTTTGTTCAAGGGACCTACTTAATAATTTGAATTACAAAGTTCAATACAATTGTAGGTATTAACAGTATCATTTGATTCAGATAGAAAAAATAAATTAAAATATTAATGAAATTAATAAAAACATATATTTAAAGATAAGATGCTTATTTAGTGACTATATTGACCGCCGTATTCTGACCTTAAATTGAAAATAATATAAAAGTAATTAGCTGGCTTAGTGTGACGAGTTCATGACCTTTGCTTCAGTAATATTTGACTAATATTGGTCTATCATACACTATCCATATACGTTTTTGGTGCGTCAGTAACATTAACAGTTCTTTGTTCATTTCTTCCAGCAGGAATTCCCTTCCTTTGATCAGTTGAGTTTCAGTAGTTCAGTCTATTTGATAGTATATATATCTTGTTCATGTGGCTACTTTCCCTCAGGAGAAGTTCCTTGATCAAAGTGAGGGAGATTTTGATCTAAGAAATTGGACTTGTCATTCCTTTCCATGGATCGATCCTGAATGCCTCCCCTTTCCCCTCAGGCACTCTAACCTCTGCGGGTTAATCACTAACCCACGAATGTAATAATATATTGTATGGTTATTTATTTTCACAGACTACCTCTATATTATTAATATTTCTGCATGGGTTCGACTCCTTGACTAGTCGCAGTGCTGTTATTGATAAATACTTTCCCCTTTTCTTATTTACAGTGCCTGCATCAGCACCGAGTAACGTGCGTGTGACAGTGCATGAGGACGGCTCTGTACTTATCAAATGGTCAAGTATGAGTGCTGAGGAAGCCAGAGGACGGCTCCTAGGCTACCAGGTAATACTAAGTCACAATGGCAGCCAGACTACAGAGACAGTGATAAGTCCTTGGCTGGAGGCTCGTGGTCTTCTACCTGGCCGCCTCTATACAGTGCGTGTGGCTGCTCTAACAGGTGCAGGTCCTGGGCCCTTCAGTGATCCCATCTTACTGGATGCTGGGCCTAATGATGCCCACAGCATTCAGAGAGTAAATGCAGACAGTGAGAGTGGTAGCTCTGTAATATACGCTCCACCACAGCCGGAATGGCTGGTGTACCTGCTGATACCTCTAGTACTGCTTGTGTTCATGGTTACTTTGTTGTATGTGAGACGACTTCATAAAAAAGCGCCGTCCTCGAACACACTTCATGCCCCAACTCTCTACCAGGATCCATCTATCTACCCAGATCATAACTCCATGAGTATGTATGGTGAAAATAAATTGTGGCAAGCCTCGGAGAGTGACAAGGACTCTAGCTTGTCTTCAACACGGCTCTTGCATCAGCAAGTGAATGAGTATGCAGAGCCACGAATGAAGGGGCTTCATGATTCAATGGCAGAACCATATGCCACCACAGCATTACTAACTCCCCCGTCACCCCACCTGAACCAGGGCATTCCTTGGCAACATCACAGCAACGATTCTGGCATTCAGGTAAAGTGGGCTGCATTCCTGCCTCCTCCACCAGCCTGTCCACCGCCGCTAGACCTGGGTGATCCATCCAGTGTCAGTGACCATCAGGGGCCCCGGAAAGTATCTTCTCAAGGCTCGCAATACGACAACATGGGCAGATCTGAGCAGTATGAGCGGCCATGTGATGCTGCCTCGGAACACACTTATGATGTGTACACACAGGTGACACCTGCTGACTGTCGGGATGAGTTCTCTACCTTCAAATCACTGCAGGATCACGACTGTCGGAAAGTTCACTCTGACTGTCACCTTCCACCTCCGACAGAACAACCACGAAGTAACACACACTAGAACCAATGTCTACTGAACCCGCAGAACCACCACGAGCCAGACCACACTATCACCGGTGTTATCTGGTCCAGTAAACCAACTTTCCCATCTTACGTAAGAGAGCAATAGTACAAATTTAAGCAAACTTGCGACAAAGCAACAAATGTTTGAGTCATCAGATGTACAAGTATATACGTTCCATCTCGTACTGAAAACCAACGTGTACGTGTCATGTGCTGGTACAGCAAGACCCGCTAGTAACTGTGTCATGAGGAGCTACAGCTACTAGTGCCTGTATCATGTGCTGGTACAGCGACACCTACCTGTGACATGCGAACGAAGCCGGTATCATAACACTCACACTGGTTCTTGTCATGTGAACTAATGCACCTGCCAATACAGCACACAGTCACAAGACTGCAACCAGCATTCCAGTCAATACCATCATGACCACTACCAGTTGGTGAGGAAAGGGCATAAGTTAACACCAGCCTGTGACAACAGGGCATAAGTTAACACCAGCCTGTGACAACAGGGCATAAGTTAACATCAGCTTGTGACAACAGGGCATAAGTTAACACCAGCCTGTGACAACAGGGCATAAGTTAACACCAGCCTGTGACAACGGGGCATGAGTTTACACCAGTTTATTAGGACAGAGCATGGGAACACCAGTCTGTGAGAACGGATCATGAGTTAACACCAGTCTTTTTACAAGAGTGCACAAAAGACTTAGTGAGCAGTTAAGGAACTTTAGAACCACAACAACTTCACTCCTCTGTACAATATAACTGGGTATACATGTGCATCTATTTAAATTCTGTAAAAGTTTACTCAGTTTTTTTATTTTACGAATGAAAGTTTTCTTGAGTGCGTTGTATATGTGAACTGTGGTCGTAATGACCTGCGTGCAGTTAACTGTCCTTAAACAAAGCAAACTAACTCACTTAACCAGGATGTCTTGCAATTCTTCTGGTGTAGTTGTGTGAGAGGCACTGTGTCAGCAGAGTTAATACTAGTGATAGTGCCACTTGTGTCAGTAACAAGACTGGAACTACTAGACAGAGTCGTGAAAATAATAAGAATGTCAGTAGCAGAACACATTCCCAAGTCCTTACTGAGGAAGACCACAGGTGTTTTTTTAATTTCTAACATGCTATGTAGACGTCAATTTAGCGCTACTCCTCCTGCATATAAGGGTGACACTTCACACCATAGTTAAATCCCCATTGCCACTGGTATTCAAGTCTTTCCAGTGGCAAACATGTCACCTGGGTGAGGTTGCATTTTAATCTTTCCCTTGTGGCACTACTTCTCGTAGAGGTAATCACACGTAACATCCTCTCGATACACCCAACACTTCCCTTATAAAATGCCCTTAAACTTTAGCAATAAATCCATCATATCCCAGAAATTTACCCATCACTCTTCAACAATACAGATTATTCCCTAGTCCTTCAGCACCTTAGGAATATATTCACATCCTAGTTTTGTATCCTTTATATCTCAGTAATTCACTCATATCCAGTGATTTATCCAAAACATCTCTGTGAGCTGTAGGTGATTCTTCTCAACACACAAGCAACACTACGCTGGTAAATCCCCTTTAAACTCACTAGTAACATTCCCTCTCATAGAAATCTTCAAACACTATACTATACCTATTTTAAATCCACTAGTATCATTGTCACATACAAAATTCTAGAAATACTTCTACACTCACAAACCATTACCACATTAGTTAAACCTACCAATACTGCTACACACACATGACTCGATCATGTCTCACAACACCCCTACTACACTAGTAATACACCTAAGCACACTAATACCATAACTGTAAAAATTCCTCTCATCACCAACACACACAAACATTAGTACCATGACTATATAATTGTTCATCACATCACCAACACAAACATTAGTACCATGACTATATAATTGTTCATCACATCACCAACACAAACATTAGTACCATGATTATATATTTGTTACTCCCATCACCAACACACACAAACATTAGTACCATGACTATATATTCCTCCCATCACCAACACACACAAACATTAGTACCATGACTATATATTCCTCCCATCACCAACACACACAAACATTAGTACCATGACTATATATTCCTCCCATCACCAACACACAAACATTAGTACCATGACTATATATTCCTCCCATCACCAACACACACAAACATTAGTACCATGACTATATATTCCTCCCATCACCAACACACAAACATTAGTACCATGACTATATATTCCTCCCATCACCAACACACACAAACATTAGTACCATGACTATATAATTGTTTCTCATATCACATACTGACACAAATTATTGTAATCCCTCCTAGCACTTACTACACACACACACACACACACACACACACACACACACACACACACACACACACACACACACACACACACACACACACACACACACACAACACACACACACACACACACACACACACACACAACACACACACACACACACACACACACACACACACACACACACACACACACACACACACACACACACACACACACACACACACACCACACACACACACACACACACAACACACACACACACACACACACACACACACACACACACACACACACACACACACACACACACACACACACACACACACACACACACACACACACACACACACACACACACACACACACACACACACACACACACACACACACACAACACACACACACACACACACACACACACACACACACACACACACACACACACACAACACACACACACACACACACACAAACACACACACACACACACACACACACACACACACAACACACACACACACACACACACAAAATAGTGCCATGGCTGTAGGATATTACGTGATATATTTGTTCTGTGGTGCCAACAGTGCCAGCTGGTTGTGTCACGTGACCACTGCCACTTGTTATTTATTACTAGTCAAATGTATATATGTATATTAAATATTATTTTTATATTAAAATACTTTCTGGTTTTGAAAAAGCGTTTAATTATCCTGAATCAGATAATATAATTAAACATTGTTGAAGAACATAAAAAATTGTTTGTTATTTGAAGATAAGACATCAGTCTTATCTTCAAATGACCACAGCCTGGTTGGTCAGGTACTGACTTGGTGTCTGTCCAGTGCCTTCTTGAAGACAGCCTGGGGTCTTGAAGACAGTCAGGGGTCTTGAAGACAGTCAGGGGTCTTGAAGACAGTCAGGGGTCTTGAAGACAGTCAGGGGTCTTGAAGACAGTCAGGGGTCTTGAAGACAGTCAGGGGTCTTGAAGACAGTCAGGGTTCTTGAAGACAGTCAGGGGTCTTGAAGACAGTCAGGGGTCTTGAAGACAGTCAGGGGTCTTGAAGACAGTCAGGGGTCTTGAAGACAGTCAGGGGTCTTGAAGACAGTCAGGGGTCTTGAAGACAGTCAGGGGTCTTGAAGACAGTCAGGGGTCTTGAAGACAGTCAGGGGTCTTGAAGACAGCCAGGGGTCTTGAAGACAGTCAGGAGTCTTGAAGACAGTCAGGGGTCTTGAAGACAGCCAGGGGTCTTGAAGACAGTCAGGGGTCTTGAAGACAGCCAGTGGTCTTGAAGAAAGTCAGGGGTCTTGAAGACAGTCAGGGGTATTGAAGACAGTCAGGGGTCTTGAAGACAGTCAGGGGTCTTGAAGACAGTCAGGGGTCTTGAAGACAGTTCAGGGGTCTGAAACAGTCAGGGTCTTGAAGACAGTCAGGGTTCTTGAAGACAGTCAGGGGTCTTTGAAGGACAGTCAAGGAGTCTTGAAGACAGTCAGGGGTCTTGAAGACAGTCAGGGTCTTGGAAGACAGTCAGGGGTCTTGTGAAGACAGTCAGGTGGTCTTGAAGACAGTCAGGGGTCTTGAAAGGACAGTCAGGGGGTCTTGAAGACAGGTCAGGGGGTCTTGAAGATACAGCCATCGGGGTCTTGAAGACAGTCAGGAGTCTTGAAGACAGTCAGGGTGTCACTTGAAGACAGCCAGGGGGCCTTGAAGACAGTCAGGGGTCTTGAAAGACAGCCAGTCGGTCTGGAAAAAAAAGAAAGTCAGGGGTCTTGAAGACAGTCAGGGGTATTGAAGACAGTCAGGGGTCTTGAAGACAGTCAGGGGTCTTGAAGAGTCAGGGGTCATGAAGATAGTCAGGGGTCTTGAAGACAGTAAAGTGTCTTGAAGACAGCCAGGGGTCTTGAAGACAGCCAGGGGACTTGAAGACAGACGAGGGGTTCTTCGACAGCCAGGGGTCTTGACAGCCAGGGGGTCTTGACAGCCAGCCAGGTCTTGAAGACAGGGGTCTTGATAGCCAGTCAGGGTCTTTTAAGCCAGTCAGTCAGGGGTCTTGAAGCCAGTCAGGGATCTTGAAAACAGCCAGAGGTCTTGAAGACAGCCAGGGGTCTTGAAGACAGCCAGGAGTCTTGAAGAGTCAGGGGTCTTGAAGCCAGTCAGGGGTCTTGAAGCCAGTCAGGGGTCTTGAAGACAGTCAGGGGTCTTGAAGACAGCCAGGGGTCTTGAAGACAGCCAGGAGTCTTGAAAGACAGTCAGGAGTCTGAAGACAGTAGGGGTCTTGAAGGACAGTCAGGGGTCTTGAAGACAGTCAGTCAGGGGTCTTGAAGACAGCCAGGTGGGTCTTGAAGACAGTACAGTCAGGAGTCTTGAAGACAGTCAGGGGTCATGAAGACAGTCAGGGGTCTTGAAGACTGTCGGGAGTCTTGAAGACAGTCAGGGCGTCTTGAAAGACAGTTCAGGGGTCTTGAGACAGTAGGGGTCTTGAAGACAGTCAGGGGTCTTGAAGACAGCCAGGGGTCATTGATGGACAGTCAGGGTCTTGAAGAGTCAAGGGGTATTGAAGACAGCAGGGTCTTGAGCAGCCCAGGGGTCTTGAAGAGTCAGGGGTCTTGAAGACAGCCAGGGGTCTTGAAGACAGCCAGGCGGTCTTGAGACAGTCAGGGTACTTGAAGACAGCGCCAGGGGTTTTGAAGCCAGCCAGGCATGGTCTGGAAGACAGGGTCTGAAGCCAGTCAGGGTCTTGAAGCAGTTTAGGGTTCTATGAAAGCCAGCCAGGGTTCTTGAAGCCAGCCAGGGTCTTGATGACAGCAGGGTCTTGAAGACAGCCAGGGGACCTTGAGACAGCCAGGGGTCTTGATGGACTGTCAGGGGTCTTGAAGACAGTCAGGGGTCTTGAAGACAGGTCAGGCTCAGGGTCTTGAAGACAGTATAGGGTCTCTGAAGACAGTTGGGGTCTTGAAGGACGCCAGGGGGTCTTGAGACAGTCAGGAGTCTTGAAGACAGTCAGGGGTCTTGAAGACAGTGGCCGGTCTTGAAGACAGTCAGGGGTCTTGAAGGACAGTCAGGGGTCTTGAAGACAGGCCAGGGGTCTTGAAGACAGCCAGGGTCTTGAAGACAGCCAGAGGGTCTTGAAGACAGTCAGGGTGGTCTTGAGAAAACAGTCAGGTGGTCTTGAAGACAGTCAGGGGTCTTGAAGACTAGACAGGCGGTTCTTGAAGACAAGCCAGGGGTCGTGAAGAACAGATAGGGGTCTTGAAAAGACAGTCAGGGGTCTTGAAGACAGTCAGGGGTCTTGAAGACAGTCAGGGGGTCTTGAAGACGTCAGGGGTCTTGGAAGACCAGTCAGGGTTCTAGAAGACAGTCAGGGGTCTTGAAAACAGCAGGGGTCTTGATGACAGACAGGGGTCTTTGATTAATGGGGGGGGGTAAAACCAAAAGGTCAGGGGTCTTGAAAAGACAGTCAGGGGTCTTTGAGACAGTTCAGGGGTTCTGAAGACAGTCTGGGGCTTGAGGACAGTCTGGGGGTCTTGAAGACAGTCAGGGGATCTTGAAGACAGTAGGGGTCTTGAAGACAGTCAGGGGTCATTGAAGGGCTGTCAGGGGTCTTGAAGGCAGTCAGGAAGTCTTGAATGACAGTCTGGAGTCTTGAAAGACAGCCAGGTGGTTTGAAGACAGCCAGGGGGTCTTGAAGACAGTCAGGGGTCTTGAAGACAGTCAGGGGTTTGAGACTGTCAGGGGGTCTTGAAGACAGTCGGGGTATTGAAGACAGTAGGGAATCTCTGAAGACAGATCAGGGGTCTTGAAGAGTCAGGGGTAATGAAGACAGTGCAGGGGACTTGAAGACAGCCAGGGGGGGGTCTGAAGACAGCAGGGGTCTCTAGAAGACAGCCAGGGGTCTTGAAGCCAGCAGGGGTCCTTGAAGACAGTCAGGGGTCTTGAAGACAGGGGTCTTGAGCCAGTCAGGGGTCTTGAATCCAGTCAGGGATCTTGAAGCAGGCAGGGGTCGTGAAGACAGCCAGGGGTCTTGAAGAGTCAGCCGGGGTCTTGGAAGACAGCCAAGACGTCTTGAAGACGGCCAGGGGTCTTGAAGACAGCCAGGGGTCTTGAAGCCAGTCAGGGGTCTTGAAGCCAGCCAAAGGTCTTTGAAGACAGGCCAGGGGTATCTTTGAAGCCAGCCAGGGGGTCTTGAAGGACAGCCAGGTGGTCTTGAAGATGTCAGGGCTCCTTGAAGACGTCAGGGGTCTTCTGAAGACAGTCAGGGTCTTGAAAGACGTCAGGGGTCTTGAAGACAGTCCTGGGGTCTGAAGGACAGCCAGGGGTCTTGAAGACAGTTTCAGGGAGTCTTGATGACAGTCTGGAGTCTTGAAGACAGTCAGGGGTCTTGAAGACAGTCAGGGGTTTCATGAAAGACAGTTTCTGGGGTCTTGAAGACATCAGGGGGTCTTTAAAGACAGTCTGGGGTCTTGGAAGACAGTCAGGGTCTTGAAGACAGCCAGGGGTCTTTGAAGACAGTCAGGGGTCTTGAAGACAGTCAGGGTGTCTTGAAGACAGTCAGGGTGTCTTTGAAGACAGCCAGGGGGGTCTTGGAAGGACAGGTCAGGAGTCTTGAAGACAGTCAGGGTTCTTGAAGACAGCCAGGGATCTTGAAGGACAGTCAGGGGGTCGTGAAGACAGCCAGGGGTCTTGAAGAAAGTCAGGGGTCTTGAAGACAGTCAGGGGTATTGAAGACAGTCAGGGGTCTTGAAGACAGTCAGGGGTCTTGAAGAGTCAGGGGTCATGAAGATAGTCAGGGGTCTTGAAGACAGTAAAGTGTCTTGAAGACAGCCAGGGGTCTTTGAAGACAGCCAGGGGAACTTGAAGACAGCCCCGGTGTCTTGACATCCAGGGGTCTGACAGCCAGGGGTCTTGACAGCCAGCGGTCTTGAAGACAGGGGTCTTGA